GAAATGTATGTCAGCGCGACGATATTGTTCCTAATTGCCTCCATTGGCAGGCAATGGATATTATTTCAGGCACGGCGACTGCCACATGTGGTCTTCGCACGACGCACGGATGCCCGCCGATCTTGAATCACTCGCGCGTCCGTCCTCGCTCCGTTAACACGATAAGAACAGTCGCTGGCTATCGATAATCTATGAAAAATTATGGCGAACGGCGTGGTGATCTGACAACAGCTTCATCGGAGCAGCAATCACCGTGGAAAGTCGAACGATTATGCGCGTGCTTTAAACGCGAAAGAATTATTAATTTTTATCGCGTATGTTAAAGATGTGACAGATTATCGGAAGAATTACTTGAAAAGATCTTAGCTTTCAATGAAGAAATCTTAACTTCCGTTTCCAACAAATATTATTTCTACTCATTTATCTTTCTCGAGAAAGAGAAGCGAAGAGGCGATGAGAGATCTCAGATAACGCGAAACAGAAATATGTCGATATGTAAGAGTGTACTGGGGCTTCAAGATCAATAAATTCAAGTCCTGTTCCAACATCCAGTCCTGTCACCGATGGCCATTGCCCCGTCGCCGTCTGAATTCTGTCGTTCTTTTGCAATCGCTTCTCGAAGTTTACGCGAACTTAACAGCAATCATGTCTCATCGCATCCATCGGCGCTACGCGCGCGAACCGATCGATCGGCACTAATTGTGAGCCGGTCATATAGGCGGTCTTAGAGGGACTTATTAGCAACGCGAAATCTTGTTATTCGCGATTACTCGAGTTGATTGACCTATCTTGCTCTGACGTATGCCTCTAGCGTGATCCGTAGACGCGTTGCGGCTTGGTAATCGTTTCGCACGAATGCGTGATACTAGTACTTCGATATTACTTACACGAGAAAGACGGGATTGTCTCCGGTGCGGTCTTCATTACCGTTGTTACTTTAATTTATTATCTGTTCTTTACTTTGCGATCTTTATCAAGATTTTGCAACAATTTGTGAGGAAAAAATTTAAAAAATGAAGAAAGAAATTACTTATACATTACATGCAACGATTATACAAATTACGTTTTTGATGTGATAACCGATAATTCGTGAGATTTTCCATCGCAATTTAGACTTTTTGTTTCATTTATAATGATACGAGGAAATACCATCTGCAAGAAAAATGAGAATACAGAAATTAATAATCGGTTACAAAAAAGCACTCCCGGAAGAGACATAATACGTTTCCAAATACGTAATACATTTCAGATATCTGTCGATCGATAAAAGCGACGTTGCGAAGTATACGTACACGTGCTCCGAAATCAATTAAGTTTCATTTACGACGGTCGTCCATTCGACGATTTACAATGTGATGCCGATCGTGCGTGACTCCAGAGTTTTTTGCGGAATTCGTCACGGTATTTCCAATTTCTTCGAAACCGGGGCTTCAGTCCGGTTCTTCCTGTCCACATATCTCGAGCGCATGAAGGCACGTTTATGCTTGGATTTTCCGAGCAACTTCGTTTATTGCCGATGTAAATAAATTCCTAACAGCGAGATTCTCGGTCTGTGTATTGATCAACAAAATTGCTAATTCGATCCGGTGAGAAATTCTTGGCAAGCATTGTCGAGGGTCAGTCTAAATGTAGTTTAAGGCAGTCAACAAAGTTGTGAGAAGTGTCCAGAGCGTAAACGTATCTTGTATCTTCAATGCACTGCTTCTTGTCTAAAGTAATAATGTTTGCATTCTCATTGTTTTCTCCAAAAGCTCGTGTTCTACTTTTAGATTACCCAATAAATTACTTCTCTCTCTCTCTCTCTCTCTCTCTCTCTCTCTCTCTCTCTCTCTCT